TGGTGGTGATTAGATTAGATGAAATTGAAGGGAATGACTACACATTTGAAATCACAGGTAGGTAATTTTCTATTTTTCATGTAGCTACTTCAAATCCTTTTTGGAAAGAAGTGGGGTTTAAATAAATAAATGCTATTATTTTCTGTTATATAGTCCACGAGTAACTTTTGCATGGGCATGACAAAGTATATATCATTTCCTGGGATAATTAGGGTACAGCTATAGAACAGAGAAGTCTCCTGGTCATTCAAAAGCCTCAGCTTTGCCATTAGTTTCAATTTTCTCTTGAATAAGAGCTACTTGTTAGAGCTAAGAAATAACAAAATGGACTGATGTTAATGCAATTTTCTCCCCTTTCTGCCATCTATTCCCTGGTGGCAGAGAAGCCAAAGATGTGGAATTTTATCAGCAATTTTATCATTAGCCTATGAATTAGCAAGATTTTATTATGTTTCTAAAAAGTGCTGAAAAGCCATAAAACTTTTTTCACAAATTGAGAAAATGCCTGGCTCTCTGACATTTTAGCCTGTTGTCCCTTTTGCCAGGTCAATGGTTTCTACTTTATGCACTGATATGGTGCAATGGTGAATGAACACTAGGATAATGGTCCCAGACCTTACCCCCCTTTTTCCCAATAGGGAGTTAAAGATTTGGTGTTAGGTGTTACCAGTCTTAGTTGGATTTTGTTTCAACTTTGATATTGGGTAAAACTACAATATTCTCACTTTAGATTATGAATTAAATGCACTCTACTTAAATTTTTGGATTGTGCGTTTGTTTGGAGTCAAGTTTTATACTACTTCTAAGATTCTGTAAGCAGTAGAAATCAAGGACAGTTTTACAAATCAGATATAACTATTTCTTTATTATCACAGCATATCTGTTCTTTATATAGTAGTTTCAAAAGCGTTCTCCCATAAGTGAAAAACTCCTGAAAATAGACACTTGAGTCCAAGTTGTGTGAAGTGTTTTTGAATGAGGCAAGCTCAAGGTTCTCCTTGCCTTTTGTTTCCAAATTTGGGTGATTCAGGTCACATATTAGAGAGAATTGTGGTCCACTGCAGCAACAACCAAGACTTCCAGGAATGGCTGGAACAGCTGTATAGACTGATTAGAGGACCTGCCTCCTGCAGTTCATTATCCAAGACATCATCATCATCTTGTAGTGCTCATTCTGTAAGTAGTCCATTTGTTCTGTCCAGGGATTACTAAATCATCAAATCCTGTCTGCTGAGGACTTATAAGAAGCAGTGAGCATGCCCTTAATCTTTGGGTAGTCTATACCTGTAGGTTTTGAAGTACAGTTAAGCCTCACTAATTTGGATTTCTTGTGGAGAGAGGTCCTCCTAAATTAATACAGTTTTACTTAAATGTGTGCAGTTTAGTTTGACCTTAACTTGGAGTACCAACTAACTGCTAGCAATACTTTTCTAACCAGAAGTCCTGCTAAAATGTTTTAATGATAGGCAAGATTTATTTTTAGCTAGCAACTGTTGTTCTCATATTAATAGTGTGCTAAGTCAAAACCATTAGTTTACCTTCATAAGTATTGAAGCATCTCCATGTAATCTCATTTATACTATCACTAGAGGCCTAGGACATGAAATTCATGGGGGGGGGGGGGGGGGTCCTTCAGCCCAGCCTGCACCCTCTCCAATCTGGGACCCTTTGGGGAATGTCCAACTGTGGGTCCTAACCGCTCGCCTGCCTCCCTGATTACCCCTAACCGCCTCTGCCTGCCGGCCTGATCACCCCTAACTTGCCCCATGTCAGTCTGATCAACCCCAACTTGCCCCCCTGCTGGCCTGATCACACCTAACTTGCGACCCTGCCAGCCTGATTGCCCCTAACTGCCTCTGCCTTGGCCCCAGCCCCAGCCTAAGCCGCAGTCTAGCCTCCCTCTGTGGGAGATGACCTGAAGGATCAGGGGAAGCCACCGCCCCCATTACCCCGCTGCTGCTGCCACTGTTGGCCTGAGCCTTGGCCCTTGCAGCCGCTGCGGCTTTGTCCAGAAGGACGTCCGGAAGGTCGTCTGGAAGACTTCTGCTCTAATTAGCATATTACCCTTTTATTAGTATAGATATTCACTCAGTAGCCTTCAAGGGTAAACTCTTAGTTTGTTTTCTTCCAAGTTATCATAAATTTAGCTATTTATGGAATTTGAATTGATGAGATTTTACTGTACTTGCTGAGTGATACTGAAGATATGCTGTGTTGTTTATTAACACTCAAACCTGTGATACCAAAATTCCAGTTTGGGGAACTGTGTGTTGTGGTAGGAAGAACAAGGGATTTGGCCTCAGATCTGGGTTCAAATATTAGCTTTGCCAGTTACTGGCTAATTACTTCACTTTGTTACAGTTTTTCTTATGTTTGTTCTGATGAAATAACCAATTTAAGTATCTAATAGAGTGTTAAACATATAACTGAACTCATTAAATTTTGACTGTTCTCCCTTATAGATGAAAAAAATTCTGACTTTAATGAAATTGCAGAAGAGAGAGGGAGAACAGGAGTATGGGATATTGAATTCATTTAGTACTGTTCCATAGAGACCCCATAATCTTTTTTTTCCCAGCTTTGCTTTTTTTAAATTTCTTTATTGGTTAAGGTATTAGAGACCCCATAATCTTGACTGGAAAGTGCAAGCTCTTAAACTGGAGACTTTTATTTTTTGTTCTTTCCTTTCTGTGGCTGGCACTGCTGATCCAATGACACTATTGATGTTCTCCTACTGTGGGGCATAAGGTTGGGTTCCAATGGCAGATTGCCAATATCTCATCAGACATTTTCCCAGTCTTTTAGCTCTACTGGACAGCCCCGAGGACCCTTGGAGCCTCCTCAAATTATAAAACCATGGAGTTTAAGTTGTCTACGACCTGCACCTCCACTTAGACCATCAGCAGCACTAAGTTATAAAGAGGTAATTTTACTATATATGATATAAAATGCTTCTGACAAGCTAATTTTGTAGCTTATTACCAATAGTTCTAAGAGAATGTGCTTATGAATTTATGATAGGTGATACATGTCAGTCAATCTTGAATTGCTTGATTCAGTGATTTTTTATTTATTTTTAAAAATACTTTTATTGATTTCAGAGGGGAGAGAGAGAGAGAGAGAGAGAGAGAGAGAGAGAGAGAGGAAGAGAGAGAGAGAGAAAGAGAACGAGAGAGAGAGAAACATCAATGATGAAAGAGTTTCACTGATCGGCTGCCTCCTGCATGCCACCTGCTGGGGATCGAGTCCCCAACCCAGGCATGTGCCCTTGACCAGAATCAAACCCGGAACCCTTCAGTCCATAGGCTGACACTCTCCACTGAGCCAAACCAGCTAGGGTGATTTTTAGTTCTCATTTTTCCTTTTCCCCATTGTTTATCTACAAATATTTATTGAATTTCCACAGAGTTTATGTGTACTGAGTTTCCCCAACCTCCTCTTGAAGTGCCTTTGTTTTGCCTTTATGATGATTTGATAATTTTTAAATTGGTGTGATGTATACACATCTCAAACAAGAGCCACTTCATTAGAGTTGAATTTCCAACCAAACAGACCCAATTCTACTTTTTGGATCATTTTGATCTATTGAACCAAATCAGTAGTCTTATGGTAACAAGCCATGTGTCTGAACTATGAAAGTCTGAACTATTTGCTGCAGTTGAAAAGGGATAAGAATTTAATGAAAGGAATGTCTTTAAAAAAGAGTCTTCTAAGTCAACTGTAGAGGACATTTGGTATTTGGGTAGTGTGGGGATTTCAAGGCTTTATTTTCTCTCGAAGTTGCAATCAGGAAATGTCAGTCACTAGCTTCCATAGCCGTGTGGAGTTTACCTTTTCCATCCAGTCGTTTTTCCCCCTAACCTGTTGCTCACCATTTAAGCTTTTAGAAAAGATTATCATTTATTTGTAACTGTTCTTTAAATAGGCCTTAGTGAGTGAAGATTTAAGTTTATGACAGTTGTGAGACATGTCTTAGAGTTATGATGCAAATTTGTCTATCATATGTTTTGATGAATGATGACTTAGCTGAATTTTGAGTTTGTTTTTATTTGAAACACATGCTACTGTTTCGATTGCTGCCTCAACTCTTAGTGTAGTAAAAATGGAACAATATTTGGACACTGGAGAACTATTTTATCCTTTCAACCCAACAAGATAGGAAAAATAACTCTTGAGCTGAATTTTCATTATGTACCTTTTTTCAGAATTTGGCCATGAAACAGTCCCACAGGTTTGCTTTGAAAATTGACCTGTCATAATTGCAATCATCCAATTTTTTTCTTTGATTACCTAAACCAGGAGTGCCACTTCATATTTATGTAGGTCCCCTTTTTGATGATGGATATTTCATAATTGTCAGTTACTAAATTCAAATTAAGGTGAGCTTTGAGGGGGTAAAATTGACTTAATCCTTCACAGAACTAATCCATTAAAACTAAGGCATGATTATTTTTTTCTGCTGGGAGAAGAGAGTTATTAATAAATTCTTACTATGCAGTGTGTATTTTAGTTATTTTCAACATTTGTTATTCTGCACAGAACTGTATTCCTTGGGCTTTTGCATGATGATATTGCATCTAAAACTAATGTGGGAAACGTGATGATATTCTCTCTGTGTAATTTATGATAACACTAACATTTCAAATGTTGTTTTAGAAGTATTGATAAATGGATTTGGTCATTGTAACCATCGACCTCTCACGCTCATCTTCTCTTTCTTTACATATTCACTTTAGAGGATGTCTTATATCTTGAAGGTAAGGGTAGAACACTATCTTTGGCTTACAGTGACATCATAATGTTGTGCTGTAACCTTTTATGAATGAAGCTTTCCTTTGTGCTTGTTTTGTCCCTTGTTATTATTGGTGGCTAAAATATGAAGATGCAATTCTGGCATGTAAGTATTTTCTTCAAAAAGCAGGCTCTTGTGAAATACATATGAAACTGTCATTTTATAATGCTTTAAAAATGTCTGTTTTCCTGTATTTTAAAGGTATATTTTTTGTTATTTTTGTCACATGTGAGTTTTTCATGTCTGTCATTTTATGCATATGGCAAAAACAAATTCAATAATTGATATAATTTATATATTTTTAAATATACTAATTAAAAAAGTTTTATATATGTATATTGAGCTTGGCTGTAGGAACTTTACCCTTAACCCAAAATTATTATCAGGAAGTCCTTCATTTGGCCTTTCTCTCTAACCACGGGGAAATTACTTAGTCTCTTTGTCTTAATTTTCCCATCGGACAAATGAAAATTAATATTCTTCATTGTGGGACTGTTGCACAGGAAGATTAATTTCAATCATTTTCAAGCTCTTTGAAAAGAGGTATATAGTACAGTAGTAGTTATAATTTAATTACTATTAAATTCCCTTAATATTGTATCAGTGGGGAATATAAGCCACGTTAGGAATACTGTATTTCCCTAGGATTGACATCCATTACTTTCTCTGCAGATGGTACCCTAAAGGCATTTGGTCTCCTGGAGAATCTACTGCATCTTTAGTAGGCACGCTCCAGTCTTACTCCCATCCCTATAGCAATTGAGAGGACAATGTCATTGCCTCTGTTTTACTTAACCTTTCAGAATTTATTGGAACCATTTTTAAAATTGTGGATAGTATTACATTTTGATGCACTCCTGATACTGACATACAAAATAAGAGAGAACCATTCTATTTAATTTTATTTGCTCTTTTTAATTTGTTTTTGGAGGATAAGTTTAATTCATAAAGAAACCTCTATTCTTACAGGAATCTAGTAAAAGCCCCAAAACCATGAAGAAGTTTCTTCATAAAAGAAAGACTGAAAGAAAGCCATCAGAAGAGGAATATGTAATTCGGAAAAGTATGCATTTTGTACTTTCTGAAAATTGGTAATGGATTAAATAACAGACAATTTTTTTAAAAGCAGTTAGAGCAATTTTCCCCCCAGCATCATCTGTTACATAACAACAAATGCATAGGAAGGTTTGGTTACCTCTAAATTTTTTTAATAAGTTGCCTCCTCTGCACTTCATGTCATTTGAGGCAGACACCATCTGTATGGTTTTCATGTTGAATATTTTGCCCACCTGGTTTAGAACCATTAAAAGGAGCATTTGCTATGGATACATTTTCCCCTCTTAGTTTCTCATCAGGTGTGACAAAACTGTGTGTATTAGTTGAAAATACAGTCTGGATAAATTGTTAATTAACTCTGGCTTCTGCATCCCCCTCCCTCTCTCTCACCACTCACTTGGGTATGCATGTCAGCATATTAACAAGGTTATGCCATCTAGTCATTTCAAGAATGAGTTGGAGGAGGAGGAAGGAAGAGGGAGAATCAGTGACTATACTGGTTGGTTGGAAAAATGTCTAGGGTTAATGGAGAGAATTTCCTAGAGAAGTTGCGCCTTGAAATTTGAGAGGAAGGATGTGTTGTATTGGATGAGAACTGAGGCTGGTATCAAGCCCAGTGCTGTAAACGTGGCCTTGAGGAGGAGACTGACAGGACTCCCCAGTTTAGAGCTCTGGATGGGCTTTGGGAGCATGCCACCCTTGGTGCTGAACTCACCGGTGCTGGTCCCAGTTCTCCTTGGGAATAGTGTCACTCTCACTCCGTTATGAGAATTGAATAAGCTTTTACTCCCGTCTTTCAGAAATACCACTGGTCAGAGAGGCCAGTCCATAGCAGTGGAGTTAACTGCATAATTTTCAGGCTCCAGAGGCATATATCACTATGAAAAGTAATTATTAATTAAATTTGACAGGTACAGCTGCTCTGGAAGAGGACGCTCAGATTCTTAAAGTGATTGAAGCCTACTGTACCAGCGCAAATATTCAACAAAGCCATGGCTCAAGTAGGTTCCCCCAAACCACTTTCTCTAATGAGTAATGTTTCTTTTTTACTGCTCACTGCCTCTTAAAAGAAGAGAAAAGCAACCCACATTGGTGCAGGGTGTTTAAAACAGGTGACTTGGTGCAGAGGAGCAGTGCAGAGGAGCGGTACAGGACTGCATCTTTCAGATAAGGTGGTTTTACCTACCAAGTGGTTTGTTTACCCAGTTTCTTTTCACCCAGAGAGAAAGAGAGATGCAAGAGTAAAAAAGTTGGAGGTGATAGAAATGAAAATTTTTTTTTTAAAAAAAGTCATTCTCCTTTGAAGTACACAGATACCTTCATCAACACTAGTTAGGAATTAAAGAGCCCAGAGAGTTCCTGTGTCTGTGAACTGATGCTAATCTCTTCTTATAGGCAGATTTGGAAAGGAAGTCAAAATACTATCTTTGATCAGCTGCATATTTAAGCAAACAGTGCTTCACCAAATTCAAGTTTCAAAGTTGCTCTGAAAATCTGGAAATGTAGCTGCTTAGCAGGGGCTGTTCAAATGTATACAATTTATCAGGGAACTATTAGGTGAGGGTATGTCCCTGAACAATTTTCAGGTTACAAAATGAAAGCGAGATAATGTTTTCTGATTCATCTTTGTGCTTTTTAAAAAGCCAGGTCACATCGATCATGTCTCAGGATAGGTTATGTGGGGATTTGGTATCTGTGTAAGAAATGAATTCTCCATCACGCTCCATTTTGGACAGCCATTGACACATCTCGAGTGTGGGAGAGGATCACTTAGGTGGACTGCCTTGACATATGCTTTTGAAGTGACTGTCTCTAAGACTGTCATGAGGAAAATGTTCAATATGGAAGTTGGCACATTTGACCATGAAGAAGGGACTGTCACAACTTCTGCTTCACAGGGAAAACCTGGCTGTGGCTTTGGGCATACCCAGCTCTGCTAACAAGTTTTGAGGATCCAGAAAAGGGAAGTGAGAGCAGTTTTTAATGTGAAAAGTAGGAATGAGTAGGGCACAAGGAGACACCAGAAGCAAGATCCTTCATACAAAATCTGACCTCATCTCCTCTTCCCACAACCTCTCTTCACATCAATAGAGTTGATAGATATACTTGGAGGTGCAGGCAGGTACTCTAACCTAAAGAATCACATTTTGTCCCTCCGCAGCCTATCTTTTACATGTGGAAAGTGTATAGTGCAGTTCTTGGCAGACAGTAAGCCTTTTAGCATCATGGTGACTACCACCGTTTATCCCTCTCCAGACAAAAGTTCTGTTTCTCTATAACTGTTATTATTTCTTGCTGCATTCAGTCTGTTGGTCAGTCAGTCTGCTATCCATTTATTAAGTACCTATGAAGTGCTATGAGGTAGAGACATATCCACCTCAGGAAAGGGGAGGTGGTCAAGTGAAGGCAGTGAGTGTTCACAACATGAAGGAGCTTGGTTTAGAACAGCGGTTCTCAACCTGTGGGTCGAGACCCCTTTGGGGGTTGAATGACCCTTTCACAGGGGTCACCTAAATACAGCCTGCATATCAGATATTTACATTACAGTTCATAACAGTAGCAAAATTACAGTTATGAAGTAGCAATGAAAATAATTTTATGGTTGGGGATCACCACAACATGAGGAACTGTATTAAAGGGTGGCGGCATTAGGAAGGTTGAGAACTACTGGTTTAGAAGATAGGAAACCAGTGACTCAAGGAGACTTGAGATTAAGGGCTTGAGCTTCAGGAGGCAGAATCCAGAAATGAGGGGGAGATTGGATGTGCAGGAGAGCTGTTTAGTTAGGTCCTATGTCTGTTCTGCCACCTCTTCTATCCCAAATCTTATAGACAGTATGAGCAGAGAGAAATCTCCCAACTCTGGCTCTACCCTTGATCAAAATGGTCTTTCCTGACCCTACCTCACCTTATAGGACTGCAAAGAGAACAAATGGGAGTGAGTGATATTTCTGAGGCCCTTTAAGCATGTTGTGTCACAGTGTAGTGTTATTCTAAATTTACTAAAATTATATAACACCATAGCATAGGATGTGGTGTGCTCTTCTCTGGAGATGTGCATAGACAAATGATCACTGGTCAAATTTTTTGCTGTGAAAGAGGCAAAACAGGAAACGATGGGGTCGTGGTTGAATACAGGTATCAAAGTGGCCTTTTCACATAATTTTTCTGAGTACAAAATTCTCTCCTCCCCAACATTTAATCAATATATTTGGTCATTTAGAATTTTCTCAGGTCAGGAAGACTTAGTCATTAATGTTGGGTGGATGTCTGGGTGCAAGGTTGTAACATGCTATTAATAAGTACCCTTCAATAACAACAGGAGAAAGGAACTGACACCTAAAAATAGTTCTCACTAGGAACTCTTCCCTCTCCACCTTTTTGCAACGATTATTTGTAGGTTCTCGTAAAGATTCAGTTCCACAAGTCTTACTCCCCGAGGAAGAGAAACTCATCATTGAAGAAACCAGAAGCAATGGTCAGACCATCATCGAAGAAAAGTGAGTAGAGTAGACTAAACCTTTTCTGATTTGTCTAGGGGCTGGAAAGATGATTCTGGCAGGGCAATGTGGCTCTTGCAAAGTCTATATTGAAGGACTATCCCTTCTTGTCTGAGAATGTGACCATCTTTGTTGATCATGCAGTTGGGAGCCTTGGGAGGTCTGTCCCCCAGCAAAGGGAAGGGGGAAGGAGAGACACAGGAGGCAAAACTCTCTTCATGGTGGCTAACCCTGGAGCCCACTCCCTCATACAGTAAGGTGTTTCAGGATACATATGAATATCACTCTACATGGATGTAGGGGGCACCTGGGGAGGCCATGGCATCAATTTCCCTGCCTAGAGGGTGCTTCTCACATTTATTGAGTCAAGCACTGGACTTTCACCAACATGACCTCATTTAAAATCTTATAGCAATCAGTGAGATAAGCATTATTTTCACCACTTTTACAGATGAAGAAACTGAGGTTCAGGGTGATTATGTCCCTGGCCTACCTTTGCACAATAGTGAGGGTGGCCTAATGGGGGGAAATCAGCTTAAATAACTTATGGCTCATAAAATAAACACAAAGTAGCAAAATAATTCATTTGCTTAAGCTTGAGTCATTTCTGAAATCAAGCCTAAATTTGCAGCAGACAGCATATTTCAAAGTGCTTGGCGTCATCAGTATACAATACTTTTCCATCTGGTGTATGGAGTGATAACGGCCAAGTGGTAAAGCACTTGGGCTTATGAGAAGAACAATCCTGGTTCAACTCCAAATTCTACCACTTGCTAGCTGTGTGACCTGCAGCAAGTTCCTGCATCTATCTGTGCCTCAGTTTCCTCATCTTTAAAATGGGTATGGTAGTAATACTTTCAGGTTGTTGTGAGCTTAAATGGAATAATAAGTGTGTATAAAGGTTAACACATGGTAATCACTCAATATAAATGATTATACTATAAGTAGAGGCCTGGTGCATGAAATTTATGCACTGGAGGGGTGTGTCCCTCAGCCCAGCCTGCACCCTCTCCAATCTGGGACCCCTCGAGGGATGTCCGATTGCCCTCTCACAATCTGGGACTGCTGGCCCCAAATCGCTCGCCTGCCTGCCTGCCTGATTGCCCCTAACTGCTTCTGCCTGCCAGCCTGATCACGCCCTAACCACTCCCCTGCCAGCCTGATCGATGTCTAACTGCCCTCCCCTGTAGGCCTGTTCCCCCCAACTGCCCTCCCCTGCTGGCCATCATGTGACCCCATGGGGGCAGCTATCTTGTGTGAGGGTGTGATGGTCAATTTGCATATCACCTCTTTGTTATATAGGACTATGCTATTTAAATTTTTATAATTTAATTACAGCTGACATTCAGTATTATATCACTTTCACGAGCATAGCATAATGGTTAGATGCATCTAATTTATGAAATGATCCTCAATAAGTCTAGTACCCGCCTGGCACCATGGATACTTATTACAATATTATTGACTATATTCTCTATGCTGTGCTTTACGTCCCTGGGACTATTTTGTATATGCCAATTTGTACTTCTTAACTTTTCACCTTTTTTACCCAACACCCCTCCTATCTATCTATCTATCTATCTATCTATCTATCTATCTATCTATCCTATCGAATAAAAGAGAAACATGGTAATTGGCGTACGACCGCTACCCTTCCCATTGGCTAATCAGCAAGATATGCAAATTAACTGTCAGCCAAGATGGTGGCCGGCAGCCAGGCAGCTTGAAATTAACATGAGGCTTGCTTGCTTCAGTGACGGAGGACTCCAACGTTCCCCGCCTGCTGCTGCAGGCCTCTGAGCCTGCAGTTTGAAACATTTTAACAAATACCACCGGACTTCAGCCAGCAGATTCGCAACATTGTAAGCAAAGGCCAGAAACCTACTTTCAGCAGCGGAGGCCTAAGAGCTGGAGCCAAGCCTCAAAGC